CAAACTCGTAACCTGCCCCATTCGTTGTTGTTTCTTTGCTAGAGCGTGTTATTTTTGCCTTTACGAACTCATAACATGCCCCGTCTTCCATTGTTTATTTGTTGGAGCGTGTTCTTTTTGCCTTTACCAACTCAAAAAAAAAAAAAAAAAACCTCACATTTTGGACTTCCCTCAGTCTGTCTGCTGCAATTACGTCCAAAGCTTTAGTTGGAGCATTCCCAGCAACTAACCCGGATCTCTCCCTAGCCCACGGGGTCGGTTTGTACCACAACAAGGGACCATTGGGAGATCAAAGTCGTAACCCGTACTCTACATACATAGATTAGCGAACGAATGAAATAAATAAGATAAATGAGTGTATAGATAAACTGAGAGAAGAATATAACTCAGTTCTCACAACAAAAAAAAAACAGTCCCAGCGCGAATATTGGATGGAGCTCGGGATGTAATTTCAGTCCGGTACTACAGACCGCATTCTAATACCGATCAGATACATCCAGGAAAGTCGTTGTGCGAGTACCTCCTGACCGCATACTCACTTTTGAACACATTCGTGAGGGGTCTCACAATTGCTGCAAATCCCTTGATAAACCTTCGGTAATACGAGGCTAGTCCTTAAAATGCATGAACTTGCATAAGTGAGGTGGGCACCGACGCGTCCCACATGGCTTTCACCTTCCGCGATTTTGGTTTCAATCCCTTATCAGTAACCACATGGCCCAAAAAGGAAATTTTTGTCACGAAGAAAAAAACATTGCTCGAGAGCAACCTTGAAACCTACATTTTTTAAGATATCCAGTGTCCATTCAATGTGTTGTATGTGGCCCTCATGGTTGCTTGAGTACACTAAAATAACATCTATTTATACAATCACACAATAGTTAATAATACTTTGCGCCAGCTCGTGCAAACCCAATAGCATCCAATTGTTCATCAATCAGAAAACAACGATTTTCTCAAAACGAACATTTTATATTTTTTGAACGAAATTGGAATTGTTATTTTCATTGTGATTTTGGTGACTTTTGATGTTTTGTTAAGTCAATTTTTGGGAGGTACCCTACTTTTGTTTGAATTTTGTGGTCCTGTTTTCTGCAAATTTTACATCGCTTTCTTATCAAATTTGGGGGGTGTTACAATTTCATTGCCATTATGCGAAGCTATAGGGATCTTTATGATCACTTTTTTTACTTTTCAAGCATATCTATGAACATTTCTTATCTTTCACAATATAAAATCATGAAATTTTCTGGTTTTTCCCGGCCAATACATGAAGATTAGAGAAACATATTGAGTATCATACCAATAAACACCTATGATTGGCAGTACATATGTGGGTTATTTCATGATTGCATTGGTTGGTTTGTTATTCTTATATTTGCTTACGTGTATTTAATACTTATCGATGTGTTGTGTTGTCCCCGCAAATACTCTTCCCTTT